TGCAAAGTTCTTCCATTCATTTTACACAGATGCAGCAGGCAGACTTGCTGCAGATCACAACAGTCCTTTAGGGAGGGCCAATAAATGAGCTGTTGCATCAAAGGCTCCTGTATTTGTTGCAGGGACATAAAAAAGGAAAGGGGAGGCCTGTCCGCCTCCTTAAAGCACTCAGGTACTTAACCAGGCCACTGACCCTTCAAACCCACCAGCTATAAAAGCGAGAGATAAGGCAGTCTGCTTCCTTGTTTAGTGCTTGTAATTGCTGTTAGTGCCTCGAGTACAACTCATAACGACCCAGAACAACAGATCTGAACCCTGTCCTAGCCTGTGCCATCTCTGATAGACTTGAGGCCACTGTTGTCACTGTGTTAGTCAGTCTTGTCTTCATCTCCTTTGCTTACCTCTACCTTTCTAAGCATGATGTCCTTTCCCCAAAACTGGCCCCTCCTCGCTACATACCCAAAGTACCTGAGATCAAGTTTCACCATCCTTTCCTCTAAGGAGTACCCTGGTCGTACCTTCTCCAAGACAGATCTGTTTATTCTTTTTAGATCTGTTTATTCTTTTGGCAGTGCATAGGATATTAAGACACTCTTCTCCAGCATCACGATTCAAAGGCATTGATTCTTCTGTCATCCTTACTTACCGTCCAACTTGGAAACACAGGAGTGCAAGATTTCCATGAGACCAAATCCACTTGGTGAAAATGGGTTTGGCGAACTGCAAAGAAGGCAAACGGAGGGAACATTTGATACTCCAATGGCTAGATAAAGAAAAGACAATCAGGTCTCTAACTTTGCTGTCTGCTTGTAAAGGGGCTTTTACTGGATTACTCATTTTAGCTTGTTCAAAGCATATGATGTGGGCATTATGCCCATACAAGCAGCTCTGGTGGCCTACTGGGTAAGGTGTTGTGCTGCCAGCTCAAAGGTGGATGGTTCAAACCCACCAGCTGCCCCGTGGGAGAAAGATGGGCAGTCTCCTCATGTACAGTCCACAGTATCTGAAAACCTGATGGAAAGTCAGCTATGAGTCGGTTCTGACTCAACAGCATGAGCTCAGTCGACAGAAGCTGAACCCGAGGTTCTCAGAATATAACGATCTGCTGGAGGTGGCCCAGGCAGAGGCTAGTGTTGACATGTGTTAGACCCCTCAGGAGCTCCAGGCCTAGCCTGTGGGAGGGTTGCACTCACTGCTAACACCCCCCCCCCCAAGCACCTCTCTGGCAGCTGGAATCTAGAAGTGGCTCCATGGAAGAAAGGTGAGAAATTTCTTCCCATGGAAGAAATTTGGATGCTTTCTTCTCATGAATGCACAGCCTCCTGATCACCCACTAGAAGGTCAGCCGAGTCAGTTCCACCTTGATGGTGATGAGTGAACCAGACCTGTGATCCTTGGGTCTTAAGATCCATCCCATGGCTTCCAGGCTGCCTGGTTTATGGGCTGGGCCAGTCATGCACTGTTACTAGCAGAAAAGAAGAGATTTGTAAGGGAAGAGAGAAGACAAACTTTTCCAGAATCAGGTATCTGGAAAAAACAAAACCAAACCAAAACCCGACTCAATGCCGTTGAGTCAGAACCAAGTCCACCTCACCCTCCAGAAGGTTTTCAGGGGCTGTAAATCACACAGAAGAGTGCACATCTTTTTCCTGTGGAGTTGCTGGTGGTGGTTTTGAACCACTTGCCTTGGAGTTGGCAGGACAACTCCTTACCTTATCTTTCTAGGCCACCAGATCCCCTAGATAAATGTTGTTGTTGTGGTGGTGGTGGTGTTATGGGCATTCGAGTTCAGTAGGACTATAGTGATCCTATGAACCCTGTCCTATCCTGTGCTGTCTTCCCATTTCCTGACACACTAGACATTCTAGATAAATGAGTAGTACTTAATTATATTCATACAGAATAATCATAGAGTTTTGCTTATGTGTTGATGATGGTGTTATGGCCAGTTGGAACTGACTCATAGCTGACCCTCCAGCAGGTTTTCAGAGACAGTTAATGGCACCAAAGGAGACTGCCCATCCTCCTCCTGAACAGCAAAAAGCAAGTAGTGGCTTCAAAGTGCATGCCTTTGGGCTGGCAGCGCAGCTCCTTACCCCGGGGCCCCCAGAGCTCCCTTGCTTCTTTGTAGAAATGATTCTTCATTTCATTTGCTACCTTTCTAACAGGGCACTCCGGAGCAAGAGAGAAGCCAAAGGGATGCCCAGCCGGCAGATAGTTGGACTGAATGCTTGTGTCCAAGACGTTGAAGCACAACTTGGGGGGGGGGGGAGCTGTGTATCCTGGTATCCCAGAAGAAAAGCCACAATGGCCAGGCAGATGTTCTAGCCCTAGGGGATTTAAACAGTAATGAATTAAGGCCTTTCTCATAGACTCTTAAAGACCTCCAAAATGGTGAGGAAGACAGTATGGGCCTTATTATCTGTTTTATAAAGAAACTGAAGAATAGCTAGAAGTGTCATAGAACCTAGGCTTTCCACCTCCAGCCCAGCGCTAATCCAAGCCCACAGAGGTTACGATTGTGCTGAGCATGAACCCAAGGGTAAACCACCCTTCTCTCTTACTCAAGGTGAAACTCTGCACCCTTTGTTGTGAGATGCTCTGACTCATGGTGACCCCACATATGCAGAGGAGGCTGTCCCACAGCCTCCCAAGGCTAGAACCGGAGATTGCTAGATTTGACTTCTGAGACATCTCTGGATGGATTTCAGCCTTACAACAGCAGCAAGTCGTCTGCGCTTGGCCGTCTGAACCACCTAGGAACTCCACAGATCTTTAAAAAAAAAAGAAACACCCACTGTCATTGAGTGGGGTGTGGTTCATACTGATTCTCCATTGTAAATCATAATGGAAGTGACTGGCCAGCATTTTTCCTTGGAGCTGCTGGTGGGTTCAAACTGCCCACCTTGGAGTTGCCAGTGCACCTTCCACATACCCTTTCAGATAAAACCATATTTGAAGCAGATATTTAATCTCTTAATTTGTTCAAAGATTATAATTTAATTAAAATCTTGGTGTTCGACTGGTGGAACATTCAGAAGGCTGGCCAGATCTACTATGTTGGAGAAAAAGAAGGCTGTGTCCCTTGGCACCTTCTGAGGCCCCTGAATGAAACATACATGGTTAGGAATAGCTTTGTAGTTTGTGAGACTCGTGAAAGAGAAAAATACAGGATCTTTGGGTCAAAAACAGCAAGAATTTCAAGACTTTTAACACAGTATTAAAGCTCAGGGCCCTCTGAGACTAGGTTACATGGATGGCCATGGAGTTAGCCCTGCCCATCACCCAGCAATGTTGCTCTGGAGACCATCTGCCCACTGGGACAATCTTGGACAGGTACCAGGCCAAGGCAGGAAAAGGGATTTAAAGACAAAGGGCGAGGGTGGGTGGGGGTGGAGCGGTGAAGGACACAAGGGCAGGCTGGGGGAACACAGCAGGGACAGTACCAGGAGGGCTGGCGTGGGGACAGCAGCTCTCTGTCTCACCACTTCCTAGGTCCACGTTGCTGACTTGTCCCCAGTAAAGACAGCCTTCAATGATTTGGGGGCAGGGGCCTTCCTCCATGAGAGGAGAATTCACTGGATAATTAAGTGGTTCTGAGGGTTATCTTTTAAATTCGAGAAATATTATTTCTGCAGAGATGCAAATGTTTTTGAGTTGTCTAAGATTTGCTGGAGTTGTGTTTTTCTTCCCCAGCCCCTCCCTTTTTAAATTACAGTATTATAAATGTACATATACTCGCTCCCCTACCAGGCCAAAAAAGGACCCCAACATTCACATGAAGCTGAAAAGTCTCTGCCGTTCTGAACCTTTCGCAAAGCGTCCCCTCACTATTCCGCCCTTCCCTCTCTTTTGGGTTTCGTGTTGCACACACCTGCGCCGCCCCTACAACGGAGTAGTGGGTCCCCAGCAGATCACGACCACCCCTAGGGCTGTTCAACTCCAAACCTCTCCTTCCCAGCACAGATCCTGCCTGCTACACACCCCTCGATGTTAATCTCGAGGCTCAGGAGGGAGGAGACCAAACGGGAGCCAGATGTGTGCGCACCCCCTCCCTCCCTGCAGCCTCCTCCCTCTTCTCCCCTCTCTCCCCCTCCCCGAAGCAGCCTCCTCCTCCTCCGAGCTTCCTAAAACCCGGAGCACCGACGCCAGCGGATCCGGAGCCAGGCGGCAGCGACGCAAACAAGTCAGCTCCGCGGTTCCTCCGGGAGCGGGAGCCGGGAGGGCGGGAGGCAGCGGAAGCCGGGCATGCTCAGTAGGCGGGACAAAGTTGGGGTGTGTGTTTTTTTTTCTCTCCTCTTTTTTTTTCTCTCTATCGGTCGCAAGTAGGAAGCTTTTTGCACTCCACCACCTCTGGCCGCTGGGAAGACGTCATCGCTTCCGCCCTACTTCCTCCTCCTGTTGGCGGCGGTGAGAATCCAATATGGAGTAAAGCGGCGGAGGCGAGCGATGGGGCTGGGACGGGGCGCCCTGCACCGCCTCCCAGGCGCACCTCCCCGGGCCTCCGACCGCTCCCCGGAACCGTGATCGGCCCGGCCGCTGGGGGTCAAACCGGCTCCGCACCCCCGCGCGCGGCCCACCTCTCTCGTCCGGCTGCACCCCGGAGTCCCCCGCGGCCGCAGGCGCTTGTTTTGCTCGCCTCCCTGCCGTCCCCGAGCCCCCCGAGTCCCCCGAGCCGCGCCCCTCCGCGCTGCGGCGCGCTCTCTCCCTGCAGCTGGCCGCTGCACCCCTTCCCCCCAGCGGCACCCCGCGCGCCGGGAGCTCTCCTTCCCCTGCTGCCTGCGGCGCCCCTTCATCTCCAGCCGCCCCCCAGCCCGCCATCCGGCGATCTCTGGAGATGTAAACGAAGGGGGTGAGCGGGCAGGAAGATGAAGGGAGCACAGCTGCCCGCCGCGGGACAGGCGTCGAGGTGAACAAGAAGATGACCGAAGAAACACACCCGGACGAGTAAGTGTGGCCCCGGGGTGGGTCGAGGTGCCCTGCGAGGGCGGCCGAGGGGCATGGCGGGGAGGGCGGAGGCGGCGACGCTCGTGGGGTGCAGCGCTTCGGCCTGTCGGGTTAGGGTGCGGGATCCCCCCTTGTTGAGCTGGGAGTCCGCGGCGGTGCACCGAGACTCGGCGGTCTGGGGGCGGCCTCGGGGGCCAAGGGCGCGCGGGTGACCTCCGCGTGTCCGGGGTGGAAGCCCTGGCACCCCCGCTTCTGCTCCCGAGGCTCCGGCTTTTCCCGGGTGACTTTGGGACTCTTCCGCCTGGCCCGGCCGCTGGAGCCCACTGGGGCCCTGGCTCCGCCATTTCGTTTTCTTGAATCGCTCTCATTTGCATACCACATTTTCATTCATAAAAACCACGGCGGAGCCCGGGGCGGACCGGGCGCGGGCTGCGCGGGGTCGGTGTACGCGGAGTTCCGCGCGGGCTGGAGCCGCCCGAGGGGTCCCGGGGCGCGCGTGCGCGTGCACGCGCTTGCAGCCTGGGACACGCGCCCTTTGGGGTCGGAGCCGCTGCAGGGGGGGGGCTGGATCGGCCGCGTGTACAGCAGGGGCGGGAGCGTGCGGGCAGCGGAGTGTGTGCATGTGTGTGTGCATGAGCGCGCGTGTGTGCTTGTGTGTGCGCGCGCACGGGGCGAGCGTGCCCAGGCCGCGAGCCCGAGAGGAACAAAGCTTGGGGCGCTCTGCGCGGGGGGGGGGGGGGCTCCCGGCAGACCCTGCACCCTGCAGCAGACCCTGCATCCCAACAGCAGACCCGTGCCTTTTTGCCAGCCTGTGGTCAAGGTGCATCCCCCATCCACCTCGCGGTCTCGGGGGCCGGTGGGCTTTTTGGCTCCCTCGCCCCAGGCGTTTCCAGCCCCGAGTGCATGGGGGCTGCACCGCGGGGCGCGGCGCGGCGCCTCGGGTCTGTGGCCTCGGGGGTCCCCACGGTCACCGCATCGCGGCCACCACCGCCGCTCAGTGCCAGTGCCCGCCACCAGACACTTTTTTTTTTTTTTGTGAATAAGACGCTCTTCTTTATTGTCACATGATATTCTTCCCCTCCTCCCCTGTACATTCATAAATCCGGAGCCTGCCTGGGCTCCTTTCATTCAGAGCTGCCATTAGGTGAGGGAGCGCGGCGCGCGCCTGGGCGCAGGCAGACGGTGATCGGTGGTCTGCCGGCTGGACATGCGCCTGTGGGCAGCCCCAACGGGGTGGATGCGGGGTGGGGGGGGTAGGGGAGCGGGAAGCGAGCTTCCGCAGCCCAGGTTCTGTGCCCCAGGCGAGCACCGGGGCTCAGGAGTGCCTGGAGGGGAAGTGACTCAGTGCTGGGCGACAGAGGCATGGAGCTGAGGGCTTGTAGCAGGTGACAGAGTGTTACGTGGTGTTCCAAAAAACTTACTCTTTTCTTTACTATCCTTCTAGCCTTTATCATTTTACATCGCCCACCAGGAGGGTTGGTGTTGGGGATTGTCTTCCCGAGGGTCCTCAGAGACCTTTGACTGCAGTAACTGGTGGTCCCCGGAAGAGATCCTGACTGGTGTCAGGATCCCCGACTGGTGCGAGCCATGATTGTTCATCACACCACATCTGCTGGTTTTTAAATTTTAGATTCCTTTCATGCACAATATCTTGGAATGGTAATATAAAAACATGAATTTAAGACTGAAGGGTGGAGGGGGCCTTTATTCCTTTCAGACTTAATGGTAAACGAGTATTTTATCAGTTCCCTGCTTGTACCCACATGCACAGGAAGCAGTGAGGGGCACAAGGGGCAATGAGAAACTTGCCCAGCCCTGGAGCTGGACATTGTCGACGACGTCTTTTTTAACTGTGCTTTCTGCTGCTTCCATCCCTTCTGAGTACAGGTCAAGCCTTTTCTTTTGGACGGCTGCGTGTTAGCCTTGCATCCTGCCCGGTCTGGTGTCCAAAGCAAGAAGATTGCTGGTTGGCTTGCCAATGGCAAGAGAAGTTTATCTCCAGAGCTAGTTGAGAAGTAACTCTCAGAGCTAGTTGAACATAAAACCGCCTGCCAGAAGTAGGTTGAAAACCATGGATATTTGAGGACAGGTTATGGTTTCAGTCAGAATCAGAAAAAGCCTTAGTGCCTTCACCTGCTACAGAAATAATTTGCTTGGAGTCACTTTCAATGTAATGACCTTGGCAGGAGACATGAAATGCAGAGAAAGAAAGTGGTGACATGGGCGGTAAACTGACATTGCTGACGCCACTGTCCATTATTGTTGTTTGATGACCTGACGTAATGACGCATCTCAAGAATTCCTTTTTAATGTTAGTGCCAGAAAGTTTCTCGCCGAGTTATAGAGCTTGTTGTGATTGTTTTTTTGTTGTTATTGGGCCTGCTTTATCTATACTGCTTGCAAGCTGAGTTGAAATGATTAGGTGACAGTAGTAGTCATAAAAAGAGCTTAGATTTCTGCTTGGATTTTTTTTTACTCCTTCCTGTGTGTGATGGAAGGAGCCTGGTCTCCTGGAGGGTGAGTGGTGCAGCCAACCCAAAGGCTCAAAGTTAGAATCCACCAGCTGTGCTGGGAGAGAAACGATGCGCCGTCGCCTGTGTGACTTACAGCCTCTGAAAACCCACCAGAGGACCAGCTCTAAGTCAATGGCAGTGAGTTTGAATCTTTGTGAAGGAGCGCCACAAGCACAGGGGTTAATCCCTTGCATACTAACTGAAAGGGCCTTGGTTTGAACTAGGCAGCTGCTCCGCAGGGAAAAGGTATCAGTCCACTCCACTTCCTTAAGGAAACCCTGGGGGAGAAGTGCTCTAAGGTCACTGTTAGTGAGGATAACAGGATGGCTGTGGCTTTGGTTTCATATCCTGTGTGAATTTCAGTCTTCTACTTTCCCTTTTGGTGATTTTGCTTGGGATCACTCAGATTCCTTTTGGGAGTTGTTGTTATATGCCATCAAGTCGCTTGTGACTCAGCGACTCCATGTACAACAGCTCTGAACCCTGCTCTAACACTGAGCCAACTTTATTGTCTCTGACACACCTACTCCTCCTTACTCCAGTCACTGAGTCGATCCATCTCATCCAGGGTCTTCTCTTGCACTGTCCCTGCACCCTCCCAAGCATGATGTCCCTCTCCAAGGACTGATCCCTCCTGGCAACATGTCCAAAGTATGTCCGATGAAGCTTCAGAATCCTTGCCTCCAAGGAGCAGCCTGATTTCACCCTCTCCAGGATGAACATGTTTGTTCTCCTTGTCCATGGTATATTTGGTATTCTTCTCCAGCACCACAGCTCAAAGGCATCAATTCTGTCATCCTTAGTCATTGTCTCGCTTTCTGATGCATAGCAAGTAATTGCGAACTGAGGGTGTAATATTTATAAAAGAGAATAAAGGACACCCAGGTGGAGACCGAGGGGAAAATACATCTGTGCCTTAGGTAAAACAGACTTTCTTGGTGGTTTACATATACGTAACAATTTTTATTGAAAGTATAGCTAGTAATTATTTGTTAGATTTAGCATTAAAAAAAGAAAGCTTGCACCATTGAGTTGAAACCAGCCCATAGCTGACCCTCTAGTGGCTTTTTAGATGCTGTATATAAATCACACAGGAAGAGCCTTCTCATCTTTCTCCTGGGGAGAGCTGGTGGTTTCAAACCACGTGCTTTGGCATTGGCAGTGCAACGCTTTACCCACTAGGCCACCAAAAGTCCCACGGATTTAGCAGATGAGTGCTATAAAACAAAACCTTTTAACTGATGACATCATTCTTAAGTGGGAAAAATATCATTACAATTCCACTTTAAAATTCCTATGATATAGTATAGCATAGTATGATATAATAAAATATTGTCTATAACACAACACAACATAACATAAGCTCTGGTAGTTTAGCAGTTAGTAGTTGCACTGCCAGCCCAAAGGTACTTGGTTCAAATGCCCCAGCCGTTCCATGACAAGAGGATGGGGCAATCTTCTCTAGTGTGATTTACAGCCTCTGAAAACCTGCTGAAGGGTTGGTTCTGACCCAACAGTGCATAACAACAATAAAAAATATGTAGCCATTCAGAGAGCTTGTCTGCTCTCAATGGTGCTTCAAAACAACAGCTACTGTGTAGACAACGTACACTGATGATTCTCCTTTGATCTCAGCCCAGATAGAAATGTATGTGAACATTAATGTCTGTCCAGATTTTTAAAAAATTAATGTGAACAGTAGCGAGCAAGAACAAACCATTGAAAGTGGGATGTTTTCTTTTTGTACCTAGATGTGGGAAATTTTATCAGTTCACACATTGTGTCTTGAAAGCATCCGATCATGCCAATGAATGGCTTGGGCATCAGCAGATGGTGTCATTCCGGACATCGGTACGGCTCTTGCTGAGCCGTGAACTGCTTGCTGGGAATCGATTTGTAGCTTTGTCTTCAGTCTGTGTTTTCTGATGTTAAGAGATTTTCCATTTCTAAAAACCAAAACTGAAACCTAGCTTTAACTGTTCTTGCGGAACCATTTCAAACAAATTACGAATATCAGGACTCTTACACCTAAATACTGAAGCTTGCTTCTTGAAAGAATACACTTTTGTGAAACCACAATGTTATTATCACACTTTATAAAAGAATCATTCCCTGATGTCTTTAACTCATGGTCCCAGTTGTCTGAAAAATATCTTTCTTAGCAGTTTATTGTTAGTCTAAGTGGCAGGATGCTGGACTGCAATCCCAAAGGCATGTCGTCAAGTCCACTGCTGCTTGGTGGGAGAAAGATGGGCAGTCTCCTCCCGTGAGATTAACGACCTCTGAGAAGCTGCCGGAGAGTCAGCTGTGGGTCAGCTCTGACTCAGAGGTACACAACAACAAGCAGTTACTGGCCACCATCTCAGCAGGGTGGCATTTCAGTGGTGGCTCAGATCCACCAGCTGTTCGAAGGATACATGAGCTGGTCTGCTTCCAGTGAGATTTACAGCCTTGGATGTCCGATGGAGAGGTGCCATGACGTGGAAGAGGCTCACCAGCCCATGTAATGTCAGCTTTAAGGTGGACGTCAGTTAGGACTCTTCGAGGGCACTGAGGTAGATTTTTTTTTTATAGGCTCAGGGCATTAATTGTCAAATAACCAGGTGGAGAATGAGGAAGTTTAAAGTTACTTGCCCCAAGTGGAGCTCTGGTGGCCTAGTGGCAGGAAGCTGTACTGGCAATCCCAGAGGTACACGGTTCAAATCCACCAGATGCTCTGCTGGAGAAGGAGGAACAATTTCCTCCTGTACCTGTCAGATCTGATTTGACGGTACATGCACAAGAAATAATAATAATTAAAAAAAGAAGTAAAAAGTTACTTGCCCCAAATTCATTTTTTTGTTTTAATACTTTAGTCATTTTGTCTCAGGAACTCTGTGAAGTAGATGGTATTAGTTCTTTTCCAATAGCACGAGAACACGAACAAGCCTAGAGAAACAGAAACACAGGTCCTGGCTTACGGAGCTCCCCCAAAAGTCCATAATGGTAGTAACTGCAGGAGCTGGGATTTGAACTCCTGGGGCTTCTGGTTCACGAAGAGGTCTGTGATTTTCACTGCTGTATGGTGCTGCTGGAAAAGGGATTGGTGTTCAGCCTGTCATTGAGCTTCAAAGCCTCCCGGGTTCTGAGGAAAATCATTTATGCGTCGTAGTTCTTCTGACTTGCTGGTATTCTGTTTTTTGCCATAGTTGTTTTCACTTCACTTTAATCCCTGAAAATGCTGTGAGGCCCATGTTGAGTTAAAGGGAATTTAATTAAATTTGGGGGTGAGAATTCTGTGGTATACCTCAAGATAAAGGGATGTGTGGGGGGTGTTCCCACAAGTTCTGAGTTGTTTATCACATTCTTTGTGAAAAGTAAACACAAAATATTAACTGTTGACTACTCCTGCTTCTGTCAGCTTTAAAAGCGGGTATATGTTTGGCTTTAATGAGTAGAATCTTTGTTGTTGTTATGTTCTGTCCAGTCACTTGTGACTCATAGCGACCCT